CCATGGCAACCGGGGGAGAGGTCGCCACGGAGACCAGAGTCAGATATCAAAGAAACCAAGGACAAAAGCATCTCTGTCACCGTGGCAACATGTAGTACTAAAAAACTACAACAGAACTCGACTCTGTTTACTCTGATCTACACTTGGCTTAGACCTGGTCTAGACCTGGTTTAGTTTTGAGTCAGATGGACGAACAGACTGAAGGAGAGGGGCGGGGTCTGTGTGAAGGGGGCGGGGTCTGTGTGAAAGGGGCGGGTTCTGTGTAAAAGAGGCGGGGTTCAGAAGTGCTTCAGGAATGTGGGGGCGTGTCCCATTTGAGCTGTCCGTCAGGAACAGGAACAGTCTGAGTGTCACCTGACAGCACCCAAAACAGAAAAGCAGAGATGGGAGTCGGCAGGTGCAGACAGGAGCAGGAGCTGGCAGGTGCAGACACAGGGTCCACAGACCTCAGACAGACACAGAACAAATGACAGAATAAAAATAGAAATTAACCCAGGCAGCCTCCTGACATCAGGACAGGAGCAGGCAGGTGCAGGCAGGTGCAGGCAGGTGCAGACAGGAGCAGGCAGGAGCAGACAGGAAGAGACAGGAACAGAGAAAGAAGGGTAAAAGTACATTCACTTTTAAAGTAAAAGTACTCGAGTACAGGTAAAAGTAAAGTCGTCATGTCTGCTGCATAAAATATAAATATATAATTATCATGTATAAATGTATAAATATAAATATAAATATTCTGTCTACAGCCTGTGGTCTGAGGGGAGCCTCGAGTCTGGTCGACCTGAGTCGGAGTGAACGTGAAAATGTTTCATAATATTATTATCATCACATTATCACAAACAGCGACGGTTTTTAGCCTGATTTAAACTGTTCTGCTCCATTTACACTTCATGTGATCAGTTTGTTTTAGTCTGAAATATAAAAATATAAAGACTTTGAGGAGCTGCACTGTGTGTCCAGCAGAGGGCGCAGTTGTCAAATAAACTGGACCGACACAAACCGAAGAGGAAGCAGGATTTAGACTCTATTAAACAGAAATATGAAAACTCTAAATATGAAAACTCTAAATATGAAAACTCTAACCCTAAATATATAAATATAAATTTAGAAGTATGTAGTAGAATAAAAGAATGACAAGTTAGAAACTCACAGTTTGGCTGTAGAAAAACAAAACCACGTCTGTGGACATTTTAAACTTTGTAGAGAAAATGACAGATGCTTTTGAAAGAGCTGAGTGTGATTTTGGTTTTGACTCTTTCTGGATTGTGTGTCGATTGTGTGAACTCGCCCACTGAACTCGTCCTCTCATCAACACAATGCAAAGAAAAAGTGTCTTTTGAAAAGAAAATTTAGGAAATTAAAATGTCGCAGCTCTAGTGTCTGTCCACAAATATGAATGATCTAGATCAGACATGTCCAAACTTTGAATTGGCCCAAATTACCCTGCATCAATTAAAAATAAACATTTACTGCAAGTTTTTTTTTTTTTTTTTAAATCTACCTTGATAAATAATAATAATAATGATATTTAGTGTGTGATTTTAAGGATTGTAGCGTGAATAAAAGGTCATTCTAACGTGGTAAACATGCACATATTTTAATCATTCACTGTATTCAGCCCCAGTGTACGGCCCTCGACCGGCCCTCGACCGGCCCTCGACCGGCCCTCGACCGGCCCTCGACCGGCCCTCGACCGGCCCTCGACCGGCCCTCGACCGGCCCTCGATCGGCCCTCTGCTTCATCTGTGTTTAGAAATGTGGCCCTTGATGAAAAAAGTTTGGACCCTCCTGAGTGACACAATGATATTAAAGAGTCTGACTCATTATCTGTGTGTAAAAGAAATTTAAAGGTAAACTCCTGGAAAATGATGACGACCGAGCGCAGCTGAAGTGGGATTTCTGTTTTTTTGACTTTCATAATGTAAATGAATGTAAATACTGGGTTTTTATTTTAACATTTTGTCCATGAATCATTTTGTTTTTTCCACAAATGGACCTGAGCTCCAAATAGGCCGTTGAGACCGCTGGCCTCAATGAGCTTCATTTGGAGCTGAACTCTGTGGTGACGTCACCGACCCTCAGGACTCAGAGTCCCTCAGGTCCCTCAGAGTCCCTCAGGTCCCTCAGGTCCCTCAGAGTCCCTCAGGTCCCTCAGGTCCCTCAGGTCCCTCAGGTCCCTCAGGTCCCTCAGGTCCCTCAGGTCCCTCAGGTCCCTCAGGTCCCTCAGGTCCCTCAGGTCCCTCAGAGTCCCTCAGGTCCCTCAGAGTCCCTCAGGTCCCTCAGGTCCCTCAGAGTCCCTCAGGTCCCTCAGGTCCCCCAGAGTCCCTCAGGTCCCTCAGGTCCCTCAGGTCCCTCAGGTCCCTCAGGTCCCTCAGAGTCCCTCAGGTCCCTCAGGTCCCCCAGAGTCCCTCAGGTCCCACCTTCAGTCTAACGTTTGAAGATTTCACATTTTTACTCGTGATTTGATGGAATGAAGTCAAACTTGTTTAACTCTCTCCTCCCCCCCCCCCTCCTCTCTCTCTCTCTCTCTCTCTCTCTCTCTCTCTCTCTCTCTCTCTCTCTCTCTCTCTCTCTCTCTCTCTCTCTCTCTCGTCTCTCTCTCTCTCTCTCTCTCTCTCTCTCTCTCTCTCTCTCTCTCTCTCTCTCTGTCTCTCTCTCTCTCTCTCTCTCTCTCTCTCTCTCTCTCTCTCTCTCTCTCTCTCTCTCTCTCTCTCTCTCTCTCTCTCTCTCTCTCTCTCTCTCTCTCTCTCTCTCTCTCTGTCTCTCTCTCTCTCTCTCTCTCTCTCTGACTTTCTTTCTCTCTTCTGTTTCTTTCTTTCACAGACTTGATGTGGTGAAATGAGTTCAGACCTGTTCAAAGTCTCTGAGGCTGTGGCTCTGAGCAGCTGCATGGTTCTTCTCTGTGTCTGCGAAAAACAAACAAGAACACACACTTTACAAAAACAAGAACACACACTTTACAAAAACAAGAACACACACTTTACAAAAACAAGAACACACACTTTACAAAAACAAGAACACACACTTTACAAAAACAAGAACACACACTTTACAAAAACAAGAACACACACTTTACAAAAACAAGAACACACACTTTACAACTAGAATGAATTTCGTCTGTAGATGTTTTGTCCGTGGATGCTTCGTCTGTGTTTTTTTTGTCTGTGGATGTTTCGTCTGTGGATGTTTCGTTTCTGTTTCAGTCTCTGCTCCGTCCTCACAGCAGTTCGTTTGTTTACTCGTTGCCGTGGCGACTCCCTGTGCTGTGGTACAAAAATAACTCAGTCGCTTCAAAATTCTCAGGTTTTTTTCCAGACGGTAAAAGCGGAACCGTCCTGTGACTCAGAGAAACATTTACAGAAACATTTACAGATCCTCACAAACGCCACAGCCAAGAAATAAGACACATGTGCTCTGACCTCTGACCCTTTGACTGATCTTTAAATGTCCCTCGTCACACACTGACCTGGACATTCACATGTTTAACGCACAAAACAAAACAAACTGCACATTTAACACGAGTTTTTCTCTCAAACAGAAAACAGATGAGTCTCAGTACATCTGCTCAGAGGAGCACGTTTCACATGTTCGTGTTTCACATGTTCACGTTTCACATGTTCACGTTTCACATGTTCGTGTTTCACATGTTCGAGCCGTGTGACGTGTAAAACATTTCCAATAAACTGTAAACATTAGAACTGGTTTTGATTAGGGTTAGGGTTAAGATTTCCACTTTTTTCCAACACACTTGACCTTTTCCGAGGAGAAACTGTAACAGAAGAAACGTCGGCGTTTGGCATCAGGAAAGAGTCACACCAAAAAATCTAAACTTCAAGTTCAGGGTAAGAATCACTTTCAGGAGCCAGGACCCCGTCTTTTCTACTTAAATGGGTTAGTGTCTCATATTTTATTCTTGATCTTTGCTTCTTCCAAATCAAAAGAGAAATTGTTTTGTTCCATTCAGTAAATTACCTTGAGGAAAATCTCAACCGGCAATAACCAGAAATAAATAAAACAGTTTAGGTGCAGTTATTTTTATCAGTTCATTTCTGTTGTGTAGATTCATCGATCCAAATCTGCTCGGACTGAAGATGTGAGGGGAGCATAACTGTGTTTAAGATATTTGTCTTATAATTATATGATATATATTATATAATTATAAGTGAGATAATAATGGCGTCAGATCAGTGAGTGTAAACAGCCTCTTCTTCTACTTCTACATCAGACAGATTTTCATAAATCTCGTTGAGTTTTGCTTCTGTCTGTGGACGAAGTGGAAACTCAAACTGTCAATCATCTGATCACTGAACCCAAAACATTTTAGGGTCAAGAATAAAAACTCAAACAGAATCAAACGTGTTTTGTGCGTTAAGGCTCAGAGCTGCTGATGTTCATGTCTGTTTCTGTTTCTGTTTCTGTTTCTGTTCATTCTGGAATCTTCTAATCACTTTGCCAAAGTTGTTGTGAATATTTTATAACGTATATTTAGTGTTGATATGGAAGAGCGACATTCACCTGTGTCCTTTACCACAGAAATAATACTACTACTATACTATAGTACTATAGTACTAATACTATACTATAGTACTATAGTACTACTACTATTACTACTACTACTACTACTATTTCTCGCAGTACTACTCGTGCTCCTGTAGGGGGCGTGTGGGACTCACCCATGTGGGGTCCAAGGCTCCGGGGTCTGGATTTGTCTGGTCCAGTTTCTCTGCATCAAAAAAGTCCAGTTTAGACTCTGTAATCCTGGTTTAGTCCTGGTTTAGACCTGGTTTAGACCTACTTTAGTCCTGGTTTAGACCTGGTTTAGACCTGGTTTAGACCTACTTTAGTCCTGGTTTAGACCTGGTTTAGACCTGGTTTAGACCTACTTTAGTCCTGGTTTAGTCCTGGTTTAGACCTGGTTTAGACCTGGTTTAGACCTGGTTTAGACCTGGTTTAGACCTGGTTTAGACCTACTTTAGTCCTGGTTTAGTCCTGGTTTAGACCTG